AAATAAAATCAAATTAGAAGAGAGAATCCCTCAACATCTTTGGTAGTGTACGTCCACGAAGTCGAGCATAACTTTCTCATCCGGACTCCAAATCAACTGGTTTTGGCGGCATAAGAAAGCTATTTCAGCTGGCTACAATTCCTGTCTAACGTGAAAAATCCAAATTCGGACTCGAACAAGGTCAAAATTGGATTCCAAAAGCGATCATGAAAATACGTACTACAGTTCGAGGACATGAATGCGCATCGAGAAACGTGCACAAAAATTGTCGCTAGAAAGATACGCAATTAAGTAAGTATACAAAGGCATGCACAAAAGTACTCACCCAAAAGTGCATTCGCAAAAAGGATCATGAAAAAACAAACTACAATCCTAGGACATTAATAAAAATCAACAAACATGCACAAGCACACTCGCTCAAATGGACATGCACAAACATACATGTAAAAAAACATGCGCAAAAGTGCATTCGCAACAACGTTCTTCAAAACACGAACTACAATACTAGGACTTTAATACGCATCAACAAACAACAACAAAAACACTAGATCAAATAGATACAGTGGAGTGTTGAAATAAAACTCTACGTTTTCGTTTACGTGGATTTTTTTTTTTTGGATTAATTTATTTTCTGTTTGAATTGGTGGATTTGGTATCTTATAGGTACAAATCGAAAATTAGGTGTCCAGGAAGCAAAAATGATCAAAGAGAAAGAAAAGAGTTGCAATTAGGAAAATAAAATCAAATTAGAAGAGAGAATCCCTCAACATCTTTGGTAGTGTATGTCCACGAAGTCGAGCATAACTTTCTCATCCGGACTCCAAATCAACTGGTTCAGGCGGCATTAGAAAGCTATTTTAGCTGGCTACAATTTCTGTCTAACGTGAAAAATCCAAATTCGGACTCGAACATGGTCAAAATTGGATTCCAAAAGCGATCATGAAAATACGTACTACAGTTCGAGGACATGAATGCGCATCGAGAAACGTGCACAAAAAATGTCGCTAGAAAGATACGCACATAAGTAAGTATACAAAGGCATGCACAAAAGTACTCACGCAAAAGTGCATTCGCAAAAAGGATCATGAAAACACAATATACAATACTAGGACATTAATACAAATCAACAAACATGCACAAGCACACTCGCTCAAATGGACATGCACAAACGTACATGTAAAAAAACATGCGCCAAAGTGCATTCGCAACAACGTTCTTTAAACACGAACTACAATACTAGGACTTTAATACGCATCAATAACAGCAAAAACACTAGATAAAAAAGATACAGTGGAGTGTAGAAATAAAACTCTACGTTTACGTTTAAGTGGATTTTTTTTTTTGGATTAATTTATTTTATGTTTGAATTGGTGGATTTGGTATCTTATAGGTACAAATCGAAAATTAGGTGTCCAGGAAGCAAAAATGATCAAAGAGAAAGAAAAGAGTTGCAATTAGAAAAATAAAATCAAATTAGAAGAGAGAATCTGTAATGCCCAATCATCCATACATGGCCAATAATAAGCATATTGCATCAATTGATATAAGAAGAATTCATTATTCATGATGCATGATCACGACTACTTGCTACACATGTGCCTTAATTGTGTTTTAATACGGGATCGAATAATTGTCTGAAAATGTGCTAAACGGTCATATATTCGTCCTAGATGCATTTATGCATTTTAATTACATTTTAATATGATTAATTACATATATAATTACATGAAGTAGCTCATATTAGACTAAAATCAAAAGTATGCAAAAGGGTGCATTTTGATTGGTTGGTTGACTAGGTTGCACAAGACCATTCTGATATTGTTTACACTTGATTATAATGAGTAAGCATCAGCCCATATCTTATCTCAAGCTACAAAAACGTGGAGGAACCACAAGAATCCAGCAAATACAAGCCTTCCAATCACCACCCTCCATTTGGCCTTGTTGGGAATGGGTAGATAAGTGAAGACTTTGAGTTTTGGTCTTCATTTTCACTTGTCTTCTTCCAAAAACGACCAGACCTATTCACTTAAGCTTCTCTTCTTATTTCTTCACTTCCATATTCACATAAGAGAATATCAAACCCTAAGAACTCATAGAAGTAGAGCTAGAACAAGTTATGCGCCTTTTCTAGCTGAAAATCCTACGTTTTGAAGTTTGAATTCATCTATAATCAAGAACTCTAGCACAACCTATATGAGACTGATCTTTTCACTTCATAGACCATATTGAACTTGAGGTAAGTTGAAGCTTTCATTTGCTCATCATAAGAATCTAATTATGTGTTCTTTAATGTGACTTTTGCTACGTGTTCTCCATGATGTTTGAATGATTGATGGATTAATGATATGAAAGATGTTTTGAAAATGGGAGTATGGTACTTGATTGATGGTCGAGTAGGCAAGGGACGCGGGAGGAACCGGCGGACCCAACACATGGTGGCAAATACCTGAGGTCGAAAGACCAGTATGGAAAACCCACAATTAATGAAATAATGTACGGCTAATACCTGAGATCGAAAGGCCGGTATGGAAACCCCGTATTATCTATTGGCCAATTATCATGAACAAGTTCCGAAAACGAAAGCCTATTGCTATCAGTCAAGTACCACACTTCAAGGGTATCCGATAAAAAGAAGGATTTCAAAGAAAAAGGATCACGAATGAAGTTATATGTGATATTGTACATATTGAATGAATAACGTGTTATGTGATATATTGCTATTACATCCGTTTCAACTTGCTGAGCCATTAGCTCATTAGGTTCTTATGATGCAGGTAATGATATACATGTTTAGAAGTTGACCTAGCCAAGAGCGGCCAGTCAGATATTTGTTCATATGCCATGCTTCGCGCCATTTTTGTAGCCGAGCTAGAAACTCTGATTTCATTTTGTTAGCCGCTCTATTATGGTTTTTGTACAATATAATTTTGTAAACAATAAATATGTATATATATGTACATATTTCGAGAAAGTACAAATTTGATTTCTTTTCAAAGCATATAACGTATTTTTGTAGTAAAACCAAAATGTTTAAGTGTATATATAAAAGGGTAGCATCCCTAACTTAATGGTTGTGATCCGATTGGATTCTGTTGTTAGGTTGTGGGGCGTTACATTTTTGGTATCAGAGCGGAGGTTTAAAATCTTTTCTGAAGATAGAACAAGGCATATGAACATACTTTGGCTGGGAAGCTTGGTTAACTCTCTTCTTATTTACCTATGTGTTTGATTTATATGTTGCATAGCAAATATCCAGAATTGTTCGGTAGGTCAAATTTCGAGGGCGAAATTTTATAAGGAGGGAAGGATTGTAATGCCCAATCATCCATACATGGCCAATAATAAGCATATTGCATCAATTGATATAAGAAGAATTCATTATTCATGATGCATGATCACGACTACTTGCTACACATGTGCCTTAATTGTGTTTTAATACGGGATCGAATAATTGTCTGAAAATGTGCTAAACGGTCATATATTCGTCCTAGATGCATTTCTGCATTTTAATTACATTTTAATATGATTAATTACATATATAATTACATGAAGTAGCTCATATTAGACTAAAATCAAAAGTATGCAAAAGGGTGCAATTTGATTGGTTGGTTGACTAGGTTGCACAAGACCATTCTCAAATTGTTTACACTTGATTATAATGAGTAAGCATCAGCCCCCATCTTATCTCAAGCTACAAAAACGTGGAGGAACCACAAGAATGCAGCAAATACAAGCCTTCCAATCACCACCCTCCATTTGGCCTTGTTGGGAATGGGTAGATAAGTGAAGACTTTGTGTTTTGGTCTTCATTTTCACTTGTCTTCTTCCAAAAACGACCAGACCTATTTCCTTAATCATGTCTTCATGTTTCTTTACTTCCATACTCACATAAGAGAGGATCAAACCATAAGAACTCAAAGAAGTAGAGCTAGAACAAATTGTTCACCTTTTCTAGCTAAAAATATCTTACGTTTTGAAGTTTAAATTCATCTTTAATCAAGAACTCTAGCACAACCTAACAGCAGAATCCAATCGGATCACCACCATTAAGTTAGGGATGCTACCCTTTTATATATACACTTAAACATTTTGGTTTTAATACAAAAATACGTTATATGCTTTGAAAAGAAGATTGGATTCTGCTGTTAGGTTGTGGATCCATACATGGCCAATAATAAGCATATTGCATCAATTGATATAAAAAGAATTCATTATTCATGATGCATGATCACGACTACTTGCTACACATGTGCCTTAATTGTGTTTTAATACGGGATCGAATAATTGTCTGAAAATGTGCTAAACGGTCATATATTTGTCTTAATTGCAGTTCTGCATTTTAATGATTGTAATGCCCAATCATCCATACATGGCCAATAATAAGCATATTGCATCAATTGATATAAGAAGAATTCATTATTCATGATGCATGATCACGACTACTTGCTACACATGTGCCTTAATTGTGTTTTAATACGGGATCGAATAATTGTCTGAAAATGTGCTAAACGGTCATATATTCGTCCTAGATGCATTTCTGCATTTTAATTACATTTTAATATGATTAATTACATATATAATTACATGAAGTAGCTCATATTAGACTAAAATCAAAAGTATGCAAAAGGGTGCATTTTGATTGGTTGGTTGACTAGGTTGCACAAGACCATTCTGATATTGTTTACACTTGATTATAATGAGTAAGCATCAGCCCATATCTTATCTCAAGCTACAAAAACGTGGAGGAACCACAAGAATCCAGCAAATACAAGCCTTCCAATCACCACCCTCCATTTGGCCTTGTTGGGAATGGGTAGATAAGTGAAGACTTTGAGTTTTGGTCTTCATTTTCACTTGTCTTCTTCCAAAAACGACCAGACCTATTCACTTAAGCTTCTCTTCTTATTTCTTCACTTCCATATTCACATAAGAGAATATCAAACCCTAAGAACTCATAGAAGTAGAGCTAGAACAAGTTGTTCACCTTTTCTAGCTAAAAATATCTTACGTTTTGAAGTTTGAATTCATCTATAATCAAGAACTCTAGCACAACCTATATGAGACTGATCTTTTCACTTCATACACCATATTGAACTTGAGGTAAGTTGAAGCTTTCATTTGCTCATCATAAGAATCTAATTATGTGTTCTTTAATGTGACTTTTGCTACGTGTTCTCCATGATGTTTGAATGATTGATGGATTAATGATATGAAAGATGTTTTGAAAATGGGAGTATGGTACTTGATTGATGGTCGAGTAGGCAAGGGACGCGGGAGGAAGCGGCGGACTCAACACATGGTGGCAAATACCTGAGGTCGAAAGACCAGTATGGAAAACCCACAATTAATGAAATAATGTACGGCTAATACCTGAGGTCGAAAGGCCGGTATGGAAACCCCGTATTATCTATTGGCCAAATATCATGAACAGGTTCCGAAAACGAAAGCCTATTGCTATCAGTCAAGTACCACACTTCAAGGGTATCCGATAAAAAGAAGGATTTCAAAGAAAAAGGATCACGAATGAATGTATATGTGATATTGTACATATTGAATGAATAACGTGTTATGTGATATATTGCTATTACATCCGTTTCAACTTGCTGAGCCATTAGCTCATTAGGTTCTTATGATGCAGGTAATGATGTACATGTTTAGAAGTTGACCTAGCCAAGAGCGGCCAGTCAGATATTTGTTCATATGCCATGCTTCGGGCCATTTTTGTAGCCGAGCTAGAAACTCTGAATTCATTTTGTTAGCCGCTCTATTATGGTTTTTGTACAATATAATTTTGTAAACAATAAATATGTATATATATGTACATATTTCGAGAAAGTACAAAGTTTGATTTCTTTTCAAAGCATATAACGTATTTTTGTATTAAAACCAAAATGTTTAAGTGTATATATAAAAGGGTAGCATCCCTAACTTAATGGTGGTGATCCGATTGGATTCTGCTGTTAGGTTGTGGGGCGTTACAGAATCCCTCAACATCTTCGGTAGTGTACGTCCACGAAGTCGAGCATAACTTTCTCATCCAGTCTCCAAATCAACTGGTTCCGGCGGCATTAGAAAGCTATTTGAGCTGGCTACAATTCCTGTCTAACGTGAAAAATCCAAATTCGGACTCGAACATGGTCAAAATTGGATTCCTAAAGCGATCATGAAAATACGTACTACAGTTCGAGGACATGAATGCGCATCGAGAAACGTGCACAATAAATGTCGCTAGAAAGATACGCACATAAGTAAGTATACAAAGGCATGTAAAAAAGTACTCACGCAAAAGAGTATTCGCAAAAAGGATCATGAAAACACAAACTACAATTATAGGACATTAATACAAATCAACGACAAACATGCACAAGCACACTCGCTCAAATGGACATGCACAAACGTTCATGTAAAAATACAAGCGCAAAATTGCATTCGCAACAGCGTTCTTAAAAACACGAACTACAATACTAGGACTTTAATACGCATCAATAAACAACAGCAAAAACGCTAGATAAAAAAGATACAGTGGAGTGTAGAAATAAAACTCTACGTTTACGTTTAAGTGGATTTTTTTTTTGGATTAATTTATTTTATGTTTGAATTGGTGGATTTGGTATCTTATAGGTACAAATCGAAAATTAGGTGTCCACGAAGCAAAAATGATCAAAGAGAAAGAAAAGAGTTGCAATTAGGAAAATAAAATCAAATTAGAAGAGAGAATCCCTCAACATCTTTGGTAGTGTACGTCCACGAAGTCGAGCATAACTTTCTTATCCGGACTCCAAATCAATTGGTTTTGGCGGCATAAGAAAGCTATTTCAGCTGGCTACAATTCCTGTCTAACGTGAAAAATCCAAATTCAGACTCGAACAAGGTCAAAATTGGATTCCAAAAGCGATCATGAAAATACGTACTACAGTTCGAGGACATGAATGCGCATCGAGAAACGTGCACAAAAACTATCGCTAGAAAGATACGCATATAAGTAAGTATACAAAGGCATGCACAAAAGTACACACCCAAAAGTGCATTCGCAAAAAGGATCATGAAAACACAAACTACAATCCTAGGACATTAATACAAATCAACAAACATGCACAAGCACACTCGCTCAAATGGACATGCACAAACGTACATGTAAAAAAACATGCGCAAAAGTGCATTCGCAACAACGTTGTTCAAAACACGAACTACAATACTAGGACTTTAATACGCATCAACAAACAACAGCAAAAACACTAGATCAAATAGATACAGTGGAGTGTGGAAATAAAACTCTACGTTTTCGTTTACGTGGATTTTTTTTTTGGATTAATTTATTTTCTGTTTGAATCGGTGGATTTGGTATCTTATAGGTACAAATCGAAAATTAGGTGTCCAGGAAGCAAAAATGATCAAAGAGAAAGAAAAGAATTGCAATTAGGAAAATAAAATCAAATTAGAAGAGAGAATCCCTCAACATCATTGGTAGTGTACGTCCACGAAGTCGAGCATAAATTTCTCATCCGGACTCCAAATCAACTGGTTCCAGCGGCATTAGAAAGCTATTTCAGCTGGCTACAATTCCTGTCAAACGTGAAAATTCCAAATTCGGACTCGAACATGGTCAAAATTGGATTCCAAAAGCGATCATGAAAATACGTACTACAGTTCGAGGACATGAATGCGCATCGAGAAACGTGCACAAAAAATGTCGCTAGAAAGATATGCACATAAGTAAGTATACAAAGGCATGCACAAAAGTACTCACGCAAAAGTGCATTCGCAAAAAGGATCATGAAAACACAAACTTCAATACTAGGTTATTAATACAAATCAACGACAAACATGCACAAGCACACTCGCTCAAATGGACATGCACAAACGTACATGTAAAAAAACATGCGCGAAATTGCATTCGCAACAACGTTCTTAAAAACACGAACTACAATACTAGGACTTTAATACGCATCAATAAACAACAGCAAAAACACTAGATAAAAAAGATACAGTGGAGTGTAGAAATAAAACTCTACGTTTACGTTTAAGTGGATTTTCTTTTTTGGATTAATTTATTTTATGTTTGAATTGGTGGATTTGGTATCTTATAGGTACAAATCGAAAATTAGGTTTCCAGGAAGCAAAAATGATCAAAGTGAAAGAAAAGAGTTGCAATTAGGAAAATAAAATCAAATTAGAAGAGAGAATCCCTCAACATCTTTGGTAGTGTACGTTCACGAAGTCGAGCATATCTTTCTCATCCGGACACCAAATCAACTGGTTACGGTGGCATAAGAAAGCTATTTCAGCTGGCTACAATGCTTGTCTAATGTGAAAAATCCAAATTCGGACTCGAACATGGTCAAAATTGGATTCCAAAAGCGATCATGAAAATACGTACAACAGTTTGAGGACATGAATTCGCATCGAGAAACGTGCACAAAAACTCTCGTTAGAAAGATACGCACATAAGTAAGTATACAAAGGCATGCACAAAAGCACTCACGCAATAGTGCATTCGCAAAAAGGATCATGAAAACACAAACTACAATCCTAGGACATTAATACAAATCAACAAACATGCACAAGCACACTCGCTCAAATGGACATGCACAAACGTACATGTAAAAAAACATGCGCAAAAGTGCATTCGAAACAACGTTGTTCAAAACACGAACTACAATACTAGGACTTTAATACGCATCAACAAACAACAGCAAAAACACTAGATCAAATAGATACAGTGGAGTGTAGAAATAAAACTCTACGTTTTCGTTTACGTGGATTTTTTTTTTGGATTAATTTATTTTCTGTTTGAATTGGTGGATTTGGTATCTTATAGGTACAAATCGAAAATTAGGTGTCCAGGAAGCAAAAATGATCAAAGAGAAAGAAAAGAATTGCAATTAGGAAAATAAAATCAAATTAGAAGAGTGAATCCCTCAACATCTTTGGTAGTGTACGTCCACGAAGTCGAGCATAACTTTCTCATCCGGACTCCAAATCAACTGGTTCCGGCGGCATTAGAAAGCTATTTCAGCTGGCTACAATTCCTGTCTAACGTGAAAATTCCAAATTCGGACTCGAACATGGTCAAAATTGGATTCCAAAAGCGATCATGAAAATACGTACTACAGTTCGAGGACATGAATGCGCATCGAGAAACGTGCACAAAAAATGTCGCTAGAAAGATATGCACATAAGTAAGTATACAAAGGCATGCACAAAAGTACTCACGCAAAAGTGCATTCGCAAAATGGATCATGAAAACACAAACAACAATACTAGGACATTAATACAAATCCACGACAAACATGCACAAGCTCACTCGCTCAAATGGACATGCACAAACGTACATGTAAAAAAACATGCGCAAAATTGCATTCGCAACAACGTTCTTAAAAACACGAACTACAATACTAGGACTTTAATACGCATCAATAAACAACAGCAAAAACACTAGATCAAATAGATACAGTGGAGTGTAGAAATAAAACTCTAGGTTTACGTTCACGTGGATTTTTTTTTTGGATTAATTTATTTTCTGTTTGAATTGGTGCATTTGGTATCTTATAGGTACAAATTTAAAATTAGGTGTCCAGGAAGCAAAAATGATCAAAGAGAAAGAAAAGAGTTGCAATTAGGAAAATAAAATAAAATTAGAAGAGTGAATCCCTCAACATCTTTGGTAGTGTACGTCCACGAAGTCGAGCATAACTTTCTCATCCGGACTCCAAATCAATTTGTTTTGGCGGCATAAGAAAGCTATTTTAGCTGGCTACAATTCTTGTCTAACGTGAAAAATCCAAATTCGGACTCGAACAAGGTCAAAATTGGATTCCAAAAGCGATCATGAAAATACGTACTACAGTTCGAGGACATGAATGCGCATCGAGAAACGGGCACAAAAACTGTCGCTAGAAAGATACGCACATAAGTAAGTATACAAAGGCATGCACAAAAGTACTCACCCAAAAGTGCATTCGCAAAAAGGATCATGAAAACACAAACTACAATCCTAGGACATTAATACAAATCAACAAACATGCACAAGCACACTCGCTCAAATGGACATGCACAAACGTACATGTAAAAAAACATGCGCAAAAGTGCATTCGCAACAACGTTGTTCAAAACACGAACTTAAATACTAGGACTTTAATACGCATCAACAAACAACAACAAAAACACTAGATCAAATAGATACAGTGGAGTGTAGAAATAAAACTCTAGGTTTACGTTCACGTGGATTTTTTTTTTAGATTAATTTATTTTCTGTTTGAATTGGTGGATTTGGTATCTTATAGGTACAAATTGAAAATTAGGTGTCCAGGAAGCAAAAATGATCAAAGAGAAAGAAAAGAGTTGCAATTAGGAAAATAAAATCAAATTAGAAGAGTGAATCCCTCAACATCTTGGGTAGTGTACGTCCACGAAGTCGAGCATAACTTTCTCATCCGGACTCCAAATCAATTGGTTTTGGCGGCATAAGAAAGCTATTTCAGCTGGCTACAATTCCTGTCTAACGTGAAAAATCCAAATTCAGACTCGAACAAGGTCAAAATTGGATTCCAAAAGCGATCATGAAAATACGTACTACAGTTCGAGGACATGAATGCGCATCGAGAAACGTGCACAAAAACTGTCGCTAGAAAGATACGCACATAAGTAAGTATACAAAGGCATGCACAAAAGTACTCACCCAAAAGAGCATTCGCAAAAAGGATCATGAAAACACAAACTACAATCGTAGGACATTAATACAGATCAACAAACATGCACAAGCACACTCGCTCAAATGGACATGCACAAACGTACATGTAAAAAAACATGCGCAAAAGTGCATTCGCAACAACGTT